GTAATGAAACAAGCTATATGAATGGTTGAATGTGAAGCTGATGATGTGCCCTGTAAACTTTCACTCAATCCAAAATAAAAACATTTAATTAAAAAAAAAAAAAAAACCAGGTGAGACAGTTCCACTGGCATGATGGTTCATTCTGCTACAGATTTACCTGTCCAGCAATATCCTAAAACTGGGATGAGCCAACAGGCAAAGAGCAAAACGTACCCAGCTACATTCATTCTGGTTGTCTTACTAGTGTTGTCAGTGAAGTTGAAAGAACTGCTTTGCAAACTGAAATTTAAGAAACCCGTTTACCTTTCTTTCCCATATATGAATTTTTCCCCTCCATAACTCCTTTGAGTCAATAGCATTTCTGAGATCTTCGAAAGGCATAACATTAGCAGAAAGGTATTCAGCAATTTTCTGACAATTTCTACAAAATAAAAGATGGCAATAATTAAGTACAAGGTTTCATATTTTACTAGATTTAATGATTATAACTACAAATCTAAAAGGCAGCATCACCAATCTTCTATCACTGATTTTTCTTCTAACATAATACAAACAGTATAATAACCAAGAATCAGACACGCATTCAATGTCAGTCTCTGAGTGAGCATTTTTCACAAGTTCACCTCACCCCAACATCCCCACGAGTTATAAGTAATTATACTGATGATTACAGATGAGGAAAGAGATTTGCTTCTTACTCTTGGCTTAAAGCTGACAGGTGTGTATACACACACACACAGACCTGCACTCAATGTCAGCTCCTCATCTTAAGAAAAAAACAGCTGCTCTCCTTCTAAAACATCCCCATACAGTTCTGTCCACAAGTCTACCGAAGCACTGACCATAGAAAATGGTAACTGTCAGTGTTAGCCTTCCTGTTTCCTTTTGTACTAAAGAGACCAAGGTTGACATCTTTTCACTTTCTTAATTGCACTAGTGTTTGTTGCTCTGCTTGGAGTAGTCAGCACTCAACAAACACTTACTGAATAACAAATCATGAAGTTAATGTCATTTGTATACTACTTAAAGATCAAAACTACAACAGACCATTGATGCTTACTAAAGTGTCATAAAGCACAACAAAACCCAAAACAAACAAGCCCCTTGCCAGTGAGTGGATGCCGACTCACAGTGACCCAGGATTGGATCTGAGACTGTATAGCTGCACAGATCAGTCAGCCTCATCTTTCTCCTAGGGAGCAGCTCAATGGTTTGAACCACCGACCTAGCAGTCAGCAGTGCATCACACAGCTCCTTCACAGCACACCAGTGGATATTTATTTCTACGTTGCATTGGCACATACAAACAACGCAGATGCGGCATTACAAATCCAGTGTGTCCAGGTGCCATGGGATTTGTTGCACTGCTCAATGGACAATCCTCCCCTATTTAAGATCACCACGTAGCTGGATCGCAAATGCTTGCTAACTCTCACAATCCAGGGCATTTATTACAAACTCACATGTCTCAGAACTACCAAGTGTGAAATAAGAAGAATCTAGATTCTTCCCAAGATTTAAGTGTCTTGAATCATAGCATAGCATTCCACTTTATCTTGTCATATTAAAATCATTCTTACATGCTGACAGTATTTTTAAGACACGGTAGCATGTTAACTACAAAAACAGACAACATGAACAATAATCAAATTATGAACAAAGAAACCCACGTTTCACCATGATTGCCTACTATGGTGATTTTTGCTGAATGCCATTCCCTCAAATGCTTGAATGCTCCCAAGGTAGGCAAACAGTCTTTCAGTTTAGGGAAATCTTTGTCAGAGGGCAGCAGCAGGATATCGATCATTGCTCGACCTAGAAAGAGAAAAAGACATTGCTGTAAATTTTAAAAGATGTTAGACCTAAAATGCTTCAAAAACAATTATACCGTGAGCAACTGTCCTTTAAATTTCTTTGTAAGATAGAAGATAATTTAACTCTAATTACTGAAATTCTTTAAGACAATACACACCTTCAGCAGTTTAAAATCTTTAAAGGTTCATTTGACTGAAAGCCATGTTAGCTTGAAATAGCTACATTAAATATGCCAGAGAACAACAAACTAGATCTTAATTACTTGTCAATTCTGCAGCTGGGGTTAATTATGCACATTGCTCTTGAGTTGATCAATGCTATTGTTGTACCAAACAGAGAAGACAAAAAAAAAAAAAAAAACCCCTGTGCAGTTTCATTATATCTTTCTCTACTTAATCTTGTTATCCAAAAGAGAATGAATTAGTATAAAATTATAATGTACAAATAAGTTACTCCTAAAAAGACAATAAGACATTAAGAAAAGCTAATTATACTGACATTACTGGATTCTGAGAAACAAGAATAAGTTCATAAAACTTCAAATTTTATTAAACTATAAATTTACTGAAAGACCAGAAAACTAAAAAAAAAAAAAAAAAAAATGAAGTTAAAATTAAATAAGTATTCCTACTGGTCAAAATAGCAACTGTATAGTATTTCAGTGCATTCTCTGAATTTGTCACATGTTATTTAGAAGGTGATCTGTATGTTTATCGTGTCATTGGTCACGTGGGACCTTTCACATTATAATATGATCCTTGAAGATGAGGATTAGGCTGCCTATAAGCTATATGCTAGGGGCTATGCCTTTAACTCATGATTGTTTACTCAGTTCTTAGTTTGGGGCATTCTATGTAATTGTTAATGTGGTTTAGTGCCATCCAATCTGTTCCGACTCATAGTAACCCTGTACAGGGTTTCTGAAGAGCAGTTGGTGGGTTTGAACCCCAAGCTTGTGGTTAGCAGTCCAGTGCTTACCCTCTAGTGCCACACCAGGACTTCATAGCTTGTAATAAACCCAACAAATATCTGCTTAGTACATGACCTTTAATAATGAGAATATTCAAAAAAAGTTATTGTGGATGCCAAATTTTACCAAGTTTCAGATGACAGCTATTTGGTTAACAAGACAAAAACTGTTTCAGAATAATATGATAGATGTTTTCACAAAGGATGCTTTCCATCACTGAGAGAAAAAAAGGAATGAGTAGACTCAGTAACGCTGAGTAAAGGGTTTCTTTACTGCACAACTTTCCATTCCGTGATATGTATGCGGGGGCTTCCAAAATTTCATAGAAACACAGAATTGAAACATACTAGGATTTTTCCACAGACTTTCTGAAGCTCTTGAGTCACTGTACAAGGTTAAGAGCTCAGTTGCTAGCCCAAAGGTCAGTGGCCTGCTTCTGTAAAGGAGAACCTAGGAAAGCCGAGGTGCGGCTCTACTTGAGCCTACAGGGTCACTGTGAGTTGGGATGAACTTGATGGCAACAGGTTTGGATTTATAGTTACTTCATTATAAGTAACGTTACCCACATGATCGAGGCTAAAGAATCTCTTCTGCCAAGAGTTTTGCAAAGTACTAGTGTTCCACAGAACATACAATGAAAACAATGGCACATAATGGGAAAATTCGTCTTCAGTAACAAGTAAGTAAGAGGATAGACACGGCTCTAATTTTCTAAGTTCTAATTTTTGTTTAGCTAAATAATTAACAGAATTGCAACGTTTCAGTGACGGTTTTATTAAAGTAATGGAAAACTTTTTTTACATTCAACTTCAATTAAGAAATCCTTTTGCATCTTGAATTTCAAGATTAGATGTGAAAAAGAGAAACTGAATTATCACTTATTCATAACAAGTCTAACATCAGACAAAAGTTATTGGAAGCAGTTATAAAATATTACCAGGTGCAGGAAGCTTGTCTGATAACTGATGTAAATTTTCTGCAGATTCTTCATATAAACTAAAATCAAAAGGCAAATTAGGAGGAAAAAAAAAAAGAGCACACATACTTATTTTCCATAGATAGTCCTATTAATTTTGGTTATAGTAATTTTACTTTCTATGTAATAGACACTGTGAAACATGTTAGATACATTATCTCATTTGGCCCCACTGGCAACCCTAAGAGGTAACACTATATTACTATCCCAATAAGTTGCCTAAAGTCACATAAGAGCCATGAGCATTAGGATTCAAACCCAGAGCCCAAGTTGCAGCTACACCAAATAATCCAAACAAAGAAACAGAACGCCTTCCATTATATCTAGCTTACTATGGCACTGTGGAGTCCTGCTGTGGCGTTGTGGGTTAATGTGCTGGACTGCAAAGTCATTTGAGCATCAGGGTTCGTGGTTCAAGCTCACTAGCTGCTCCTCTGAAGCTCTATACGGGGTTGCTGTGTGTCAGGACCGACTCGACAGCACTTAACAACAACAACAAATGACACAGTAGGATAAGCACTAGACTTCTAACCAAAAGGTCGGTGGCTCAAACTCACCAGCCATTCCTTGGATACCTTATACAGGGTCCCCATGAGTCAGAACTGACTGAAGGCATTTAATAACAACAATATACTACATAGAAATCATACCTAATAAACCATGTATTTTTCTGAAGCCTGATAGTAAGGTATCACTAAGAAGAGTTCACAAGAGGAGGATGCTGCTTGTGTTTCTGAAGGTTACATAAAGATTCAGTCAGGTAATAAGTAGCCCCTAGCTCTCACTGGAGAATAGGATAGCCTCCTCAAATGCTTTAAAACATTATCAGCTTAATCTACATGATAAAAATGTTCCCCCAGTTAGTCTATTATATAGCAAAAGGAACTTAGTTTATACACAAGCTCTGGTAGTGTAGTGGTTACGAATCAGGCTGCTAACCTCAGGGTCAGCAGTTCGAAACTACCAGCTGTTCGGCAGGGGAAAGATGAGGCTTTCTGCTCCCATAAAGACTGACAACCTCGGAAACCCTGTACAAGGTCGCTATGAGTCGGAACCAACTCCACAGCACCTAACAACAACAACAACAACCATCCTCACCAGCTCCATGGGAGCAAGATGAGGCTTTAGGCTCCTATAAAGATTTACAGCCTCAGAATTGAGGTAACTGTTAGTCAGGATGGCAGTGAGTTTTTGTTTTTTCGGTTCATTTTCACATTAAACTATAGTTCTTAGGCTCCCTCTTGTGGAAATAATTATGAAGTCACTTTCCAGATGGTGTTGGTTGTGTGCCGTGGAGTAGAGTTACTTTTAGCATTGTCATTAAGTGTTGTCGAGTCGGTTCCAATTCATATCAACCCTGTACAGTGTTTCCAAGGAGCAACTGGTGGGTTTGAACTGCCAACCTTGCAATTAACAGTCCAGTGCTGACCCTAAAGCACCAGACCTTTTAATGGTGGTGGTGTGCCGTGGAGTCAGCTCTGACTCACAGGGACCCTGTATGTAGTTTCTGAGGCTGTAAATCTTTACAGGAGAATAATGCCTCATCTTTCTCCCACAGAGCAACTGGTAGATTTGAACCACTGACCTACAGTTAGCAGCCCAGCACATAACCCACTACGCTACCAGAGGTTCTTATCTTTTAACAGTGGCAGGAAAAAATAAACAGGGATAAAGCTTTAAGGCTGACAAGCACCTTACACATCATCTAAAATGACCCCAATACTTTATGAATCAGAAAAAACAAAGGACCCAAAAGCCTCAGTGACCAGCCCAGGAGGGACAAGAGACTCCTTTCCTTGACCCTTGCTTCAATGTTCTTCTTACTAGTCCACAGTGTCCCCCTTCACCTTTTGCAAAATCAGAAAAAAAGGAAGAGTGGATTTTTAAAGTCTGTAGCTATTTATAGAAATTCATAAAACATAATCAAAGCAATTCTCTAACCACAAATCTCAGTGGTTCAAACTCACCAGCGACTCCTTGAAAATCCTATACAGGATCATTATGAGTCGACTGTACCTAAGAACAATAACATTATACAATATTATGTTGCTGCTGTTGTTGTTGTTAAGTGCCATTGAGCCAGTTCTGACTCATAGCGACCCAATGTAGAGTTCCTGAGAAGTGGCTGGTGGGTTTGGACAGCCAACCCCTGTGGTTAACAGTCCAATGCTTATTCTACAGTGGCACACCAGAATGCCATAAAGTATTATGGAAGGTTACAAATAAAATGTATTAACTATGAGATGTATGTGGGATATCTCATGAAGAAAAGAAATTATAACAAAATAGATCACCTTTTTTTGAGTTACATTGTACTGTAACTCAGAAATCTATAATGGAACTGAAGTAAGTGTATAATACTTAATTATGAAAGGTATCTGAAATGCCAAAAATACAACTACAGCAAAGAAATCATAGATTTCTTCCTCAAACAGCAACATGAAAACAGTGTTTTGTTTGGAATGCTAGCTAAATAAAGTTTCTCTTAAATTTTTAAACTACATATCATACATCTTCAAGAACGTGGCACACTAATAAAAATATCACTTTTATGACTCTTGTGATTATACAAGGTCAAGAAGGTAAATGACCTCCTTGTGAGGCAGTAGAGGCTCAGTCCTGGACTGCAGACCACAAGGTCCGCAGTTCAAATCGGCGAGCTGGTCCTCAGAAACCCTCTACAGGATCGCTATGAGTTGGAACCGACTCGATAGCACCAACAACAATAAGAAGGTAAATATTATCAGACACCAACTTCTGCCTTTCAAATAATTCTACTCAACTAGAAGGAAGGCCTGGGTAAGATTTTCAATTAATTAAAACTTCCTTCCTGTAATTACTAGAAGACCTAATCTTCACCCTCATGACCTAAGCTACCTATCTGTTAGATATTTTACGGATGCTAAGAAAGCAGGTAAGCATACTCAGCCAAGGACAAGGATTCCCTGCTATTCCCATCTTCTTCCTCAAAACAGTCAACAGCAGTCAAGCATTCTTCCATGTTTGTTTGAAGAGTATCTTCAATTTCATCTTTTTCTGTATCAAAATGCATCTCATCCCAGTCAGAACTACAAAACTAAAAAGTCAAAACACTGCATTAACTAATGGATTCATGGAGTTATTGACATGAACAATGGCATTTACTACTGACTTTTTAAATAAGTATTACCTGATAAAATCCGCATAGCGCCTGCACCGCAAAGAACCATTTCTTGGATCCAGGTATGCCGCCCACTGAACAGACTTGAAAAGCAAAATCACACTTATTAGAAGACAGGCATGCCGGAAATCAGCATCTGCTACAGCATATCTACTTAGGCATCTGTACATATTACAGAGGTCTCTAAATCCTATATATATGATCTGTCTGTTTATTTAAATCTCTGCTAAAAATTCAAACAGTGCAATACCAAAACAGCACAATCCTACACTTACAAGGACTTTTTGCTTTTTAAGTTCAGTACAATTAAAAACTTCATGTTCAATATGATTACTGTTTCAGATTAAAACCTACCATAAACATACTGAAAAGACACCTACTCAATTCCTGCTGAGCAGCACACCAAACAATCATGCGTGTCACTGTTAGTGAAAACAATTGCTTCTACAAAGACCACAAAGAAACTGGGGTCTGGTTCAGCCTGAGTGGCAACAAAGAAGGTACAGAGACGCTCCAGCTAAAAGAGCAGGAAGAAGCTCTTCCTGGGGAGTGGAACAGCATATGAGGAAATGTAATCAAGGGTCACAAGAGAGCGTGTCGGAAGTCCCATGAAGAATTTAGCACGATGCACAGAAATACGACACTGAGTAAGGACAAAGGAAACTGTGGAAACCATTCAGGGAAACTAGAAAGATAAGCACTAGACCTCTAGGTCAGTGTGAACCATAAGGCCAGCAGTTCAAACTCACCAGCCGCTCCTCGGAAACCCTATACAGGGTCGCTTACTGAGTCGGAACCGACTGAACAGCAGTTTAACAACAACAACAAATTAGGAACTAACATTTATATGATCCTGCCAGCAAACACGTGGTGCTGCTAGCAGTCCCCTTTAATCTTACTGTCCCCTGCTAACACAGAAGGGGAGTCCTGGTGTGGCGCTTTAGGATACTGCGCTGGACCATAAGGTCAGTTCTGGATCACAAGATCGGCGGTTCAAACCCACCAGCCCCCTCCTCGTTGGAACTGATGCAACAGCAGTCAACACCAACACCACCGAAGAGGCTCTGCCCTTCCAACTCAAAGCCACTCCTCACACCTCCTCGGTGCCCACAGGCCGGCAATTACAAGGTCAATCTCTCCCTTCTCCACCAGGTCCTTCCCATTAGCATCACACACACACAGTTTTTTAAAGGGAATCGGGAAGGCTCCATTTAAACCCTTTTCCAGTTGCCCCTCTTTATTGCCTTTAAGGATGCACATTCTGAAAGTGTCATCCATACGTGACTGTCTCCATTTCCCTGTCACCTTTTCCATCCCCATAACTCCACTGCAGCCTGAGCCTGCCCTCACCAAGGTCACCATGAGCTGACATTCTCAGGTCCGTTCTCACTGACCTCTCAGCAGAGGAGGAACAAGGAGGGATCAAAGATGACACAGCCCACGGTTTTCTGCCTGAGACACAGGCAAGGTGAAGGTTCTGTGGCACCTTGATTGTACTTTTGGCTCCTTCTCCACATTCCTTTAAACACTGCTGTCGGGCCTCAGGATTAAGTCCAAGATCTCTAGCTCTTCTTACTGTCCACCCACAGTCCCAACCTTTCTCACTGCTTCCACTGACATCTCTACACAACTGAACATTTCATCAAAGAGTCATAGAAGATCCTAATGAAAAGGAGGCAAAGGCACAACAGACCCTCCAGTTCTCAGGGACTCGAGACTTTCTGGAGCCATGGAGAGTAGAAAGAACCCTGAAACTATTGCCCTCAGATCATCTTTAAACCGTAAACCAAAAATGTCCCCTAAAAAATACGGAGTAATAGGGAGGTCGCTGGGTGCATAGCAGACAGTCTGCTGTTCTAGTTTCTGTGCACACCCATGGCGGTGGAGCCTTAGGGAAGTAGCCAAGACCTGAGTCTGGGGGAGAGAAGATGAACCTGTTGGTTCTAAAAGCCATGTTTCCAGAAGGGCCAGGCTGTAGTTGAGAGGCTGCCTGGGACACCCTGGCCTTTAGGAAGGAGCTGGGTGCCCTCAAATTCTTCTGTAAAGATGTGTGTGTGTGGACAGCTATGGTCCAGAGGCAGATGGATAGCCTTTGCATCAACTACCAGGGAGCCAAGCTACTACAGGATGCTTTCCCCTCCTCATCGGATGGCCTTGGGCCTGCAGTATATGGAGGGGGCTCCCAATCCTAGCCTTCCTGAACAGCCCCCTCAGTAACCTGGGCATTGAGAGCCTGGTTTCTGCCACCACGGCTACTGCACTCACCTATAAGTTCCAAGTTGTGGCCCAAGGAGCCCCTATACCAGCTGAGTCTCACTGCTGCTCTCCCACCTTCAAATGCACCCTCAAGAAAGAACAGACGGCTAGGGCCCAGGGGCTGCTGCCTCTGGGGGTGGTCACATGCTTAGTGCAGGGTGCCCAGGATGCTGGGCAAAGCAGGTGGGGGAGAGTCACAGGCTGTCACTCAAGTGCAGGGGTTCCAGCCACAGGTGGGGCTGGAAGGGAGGGAATAAAGGTATGTGGATGAGGAGATAAAAAGGTCTGCCTTGAGCATTATGCTCTTTTTTAAAATGTCTATATGGGTGGCACTGGGGAATAAAGCACTGAACCGCAAGGTCGATTTGAACCACAAGCTCGTTGATTCAAACTGACCAGCCACTCCTTGGCAACCCAATGCAGTCCGAACAGACTCAATAACACTTAACAACAAGAATATGGGAGACACTGTAGGATAAGCACTGAACTGCTAACTGCAAGGTTGGCAGTTCAAAACCACCAGTTTCTCCTTGGAAACCCTCTACAGGATTCCTAAGAGTTGGAACTGACTGGATTGCAATTAACAGGAACAATATGGGAAGAAACTTACAATAGCAACTCGCAAGGTTAGATAAGAACCTTAGCGCGCAGAGTTTATAGTCTACACTAATAAATTAGAAGGCATTTCAGTAAAAGAAAGTTGAGACTGGTTCCAGAAATCAAAGAGTGCAATCACTGTCACTAAATTGTACATGTAGAAATTACTGAATTGGTGCCTGTTTTGTTGTGTATATTCTCAAAAATAATAAATCAAATTTAAAGAAACAAAAAGCCATTTTCACTTTAATATCTTATTGGGAAGTAATCACACATTCCAAATTGAGCATGCCCCACTCTCTAAATCTGCTTCTTCAATCTCACTAAATGCCACCACCACACTGTTACCCAAGCCAGGAGTCTAATGTCATCCTTGACTCCTTTCTCACTCATCCCTTCTCCTGTTGTTGTTGTTGTTAGGTGCCATC